GTTATGCCCTTAAAATTGGAAACAGGGAAATTGAAATAGTAAGTCATCATAAAACGCTAGGCATAATTTTTTCAGAGTTTATGCAATGGGATCAACATATAGAATTTCTAACTCACAAACTGGCAAAGGTAGCTGGCATCATCGGTCACTGTCGCTCTCTTTTTCTTACAAAAGTTAAGATTCAAATTTATCATATGCTCTGTTCGGCTCACAAATCAACTACTGCCATTTAGTTTCGGGCACAACGACCAAAAGTAACGTCAACAAACTAATAACTCTTAAAAAAAATTATTCGTTTCATTACTAATGTTTCGTACGACACACATGCTGAACCATTATATTTGAGTTACAATATCATGAAAGTTTCTTGTATTTATGACTATCGTTTGCTATTTTCTTACGCCTTTTCAACTTCGGAGTTTATTGCTTTTTTGTCACAGCTAGAAAACCTGACTGAGCGTGAATCAGTCTTCGATGTTCGTCCTAGAGAATTCTGGAAGGTTCCCCATTTCCGTACAAATTATGCACTGCAGTCTCTTGCTCATAATCTACCTACATTGCTTAACAACATTGTAATGAACCGACATCGATATTCATTGTATAACTAAGAAAACATTGCGTACTTCTTTGTGTTGTTAAATTAAGAAAAAAAAAATGTTCTCTAGTGTCGGTGATTTTAAAATTTTATAGGAACGTTTTAAATTGTTTGATTTGAATATTGTAAGAAATATTTAGGATTGTTTAAATATGATTGTGTTCCCTGTATAGATGCAAGGGCACCGGACCCAGTCAAGCTAGCTTCTGTTAGCTTTTTGTCCGGTGTCCTCGGCATAATGCTGCTGAAATAAAGTTCAAAGTTCAAAGTTGTAGGAACGATCAACAAAGACTCCTCAATAGGGAGTTTTAGGGAACCGTGTTCGCACATCCGATAAGGTACGGTGGGTCCTCCGGTACGCACTGCGCCTGCGCTTCCGCAGTACACTCGTATATGTGCAGTTCGTACCGGAGGGCCCATCCTGCCGTATCGGGTGTGCAAAAAAGGGTTGCCTAAAACTCTCTAATGACACGTAGGTTACCGTTCTTACCGTGCCGAAACCGCGTCGGAAACGTGCCGTAAAAACAAAAGTGGTGGTGAGAGTCGTTGGTGTCGCAGCTTGATTGTAGTATATTCCCGGCACGATTTCAGTATCGTGGTAACAACAGCAATATTAAGGTAAGGCTGCCCCCAAAAAACGTTATTATACCGGTTTTGGGATATTTTGTTCTCAGAGGCAGGACGTGCGCATGCGAAGCTTTTCACGGATCGGTCCGATTCTCAAGATTAGAAGATCGCGTCAGCATTGAGTCGCATTCCGCAGGACGAGATATATATGTACACTCGATGCGATGCGCTATCCATAACGCTTCAAAGGCCGTTCAAACGAAGGTCTTTAAAGAACCGGGGAACCAGCGCATACCGAGGGACACGCGCATCACTCAAAATCGCGAACCGGTGTTTAGGGAATCAGCGCATCAGCACCGCCATTCTTCCAAAAAAGAAAGGGAGGCGCCGCGAAAATGTGCTCTTGTTTTGCCAGTGTGAAGAAAATCTCGGTATACAAGGGAGTCCTCAAAAAGCAACCTATCACCGCGAATTTGGATCGGCTCATCAAGAGAGACGTGAAGCAGAAACTGTTCATTCCATGGGCCAAAACAACGACCGTACGGAGAGCTTGGCGCTACTTTCCCAGGATCCAGAGATTTTAATTTTGACAAGAAAAGAGACTCACGCTTTACCAGATAGCCCCGAAACCCAATTGCACTGTGCGTATAACTAAACGGCGAATTTACAAGAATTATTGAGATGAAATCTACGCAGTATTCAAAGAACTGCTCGATTATAACATTCTCCAAATTATTTAAAGCCTATGATAAAATAATGATGCCTAATATATATATATATATATATAGAGAGAGAGAGAGAGAGAGAGAGGAAAAGTTTCAGGGCTACTTGATGGGCTCCAGTTTGTTCTCACATCGGAAGTAGTCACAAGCGGTTTCCATACACTTGGTCATACTCAAACGCGAATGCAGGTTAACCAGACTCAAGAGCTGACTGGGCCGATTAAGCAAAGCCAAAAGTTCGTCGCGTTTGTCCTCGTTCTATGCGTGTTCTATCCGCCGCTATTCCAATCAAGCGGCGCGAGCTTTACGCGTTTAGTTTGCGTTAAATTCCTAACCTTTGACCGCGTTCCAACTTATTGTGAAACAAAGTATAGAAAGTTGATAAAGGCATGCATAGTCATCAGCAGACATCATTACACATGGAGTAAAACAAACAAACAAATAAAACAAACAAGGAAAAACAACTTGTCCATCTCGTTCCTAAACGGGACGACTTCCGAAGAGCTAGGCCATCCTGAAGCGGAAGGGCAAGGGGTCAAGAACAGATTTTTCGTCTCTCGCTTTCCCCCGCGACAACGCAAGATGCCCGCATTATCGCGATCATGTACAAATACAGAAATCTGAATACTCCCACGATATAGAGAACCTCTAGTGGTAAGTAGTGCTTCAAGCTCCTTTTATGCAGCAAGCGGTTGGGTGAGTGGCGCCGGAACCAAGCTATTTTTCATACTCGCGCCGCGCTGCATAATAAGGGAATAATTGTATCATTTATAACTCTGTGATTGGTCCATTTTGGTTCATGGCAGAATATTAGCATATCATTACTTCGTTCGTGCAAAGCTATAGGAAGACAACTTTGAGATTCGCGTCTTATACTTTTTATTTTGACGTCGTACGGCTTTCTTTATTCACTTATCCCTAAGACAAACTTCCCAGTAAAGAAAAACAGTCAAGTCTGCAGTACTGCCTCTCCTTCGCTATTTCTTAATAAATCTTCCTTATTGTGAAGCTCTTCATAGGGAGGGCCAAAGTGCTTGGCCTACGTGGGCCACGTGAAGTATACGTCGTCCACTGCGACACAACCGTGTCCACCTGAGCGATTCCATCTACAATACCCTAACGGTTTGTCGAGCTTCACATCCAGTACAGTGTATTAGATAACTTGGCACGTTCAGCAATATCCCCAAGCACGACGAGCCACGATTAATTCTTGGCACTTCCTACACTGATCCCTTCACTGAACTGGGCGTCTGCGTTCGTCCTTCATCTGTTTTATTCTTTCTGTGATCAAGACCCGTGAACTAGAATTTCGATGTCATCACAGTGAGATCAAGGACGTACACAGATGGGCACGATTTGCTGCGTCTGCGTTCGACTGGGCGTCGTTTAAGGCCCGTTCACACACTAGGGCTCGACTACAACCAACTGAGACAGGACCGGTTTAACTGATGTACCGCGGACGACCAGCTCCGCAGCAGCGCACCCGATCGTAAGTCGTCGCAAGAGGCTTAAATACCGGTATTGACTCAGTCGGACGCGTACTCGGTTGCAAGTGTGTGAACGGGCCTTCACTATGGGCGCGTTAAGTCCGCGCTCTTGCACTCCTACTCCGACGCCCCGAGTTTCATACTCGGAGCGCAGTAACTAAACGGCGTATGGCGTGCAGGAGCGCGACACACCAAAACTATCGACGAGCTGCACGAGCTCCTTCCGACCGCACGGTTATGACGAACCCGGCGTCTCGTGGATACCTCTGGCAGGAGCCAAAATTATTTCGAGGATAAATTAATTAAGGCCTGTGTGGAGCGGCAGAGTCTTAAGTAAAAGAGACGGCGACGTGATAAAGTTTCCATGAATGTTTTAATATCCCTGAAAGGACTGAAGACTCGCTTCGAGCCCGTTTGACCGATCTATTTATTGACGACGCATGTTGTTGAGATTTAAATTAAACACAACATTCTTGAAACCGCTTGTCGACGCAGGAAACTGTCAAACTTGTCAGATGTTCCGTGGTTCCCTCCTGCAGCGCGAGGCGGAACCCGTCGATGCGCAGTATACCGGCACACCACCGGTCAATAGGTAGCACGCCAATTCGTTTTCAGCCAAGATGCACGAACAAACAGTTTCCGCAACGCTAATTGACGTTTTGGCTTTCCAATCAAATGTAATACTATATTGCATAAAAATGAGCAAACAACCTTGTTTTGTTTTTTTTCTTTCTATTTTCTTTTATTGCTTTTATCTGTGTTGCCGCTCTGAAACCTGTATGGGCCTCGGGACGTTGGTCAGGTGCTTTAAGTACCTTTTGTCCCTGCCACCTCACTTCAAAATGGCTAATAAATGAAATGAAGTGCCTTTTTCGCTGAGCTAAGCATTGTAAAAAGGCAGCGGGCCGAGCTCTCTTCTCATCTCGATAAATTTTCTTCTCACCGTGTTATCGGCCCGCCACCGTTGGATAGATGAATTCGTTTGCAAGCGAGATGCACAAACAAATCTTTTCAGAAACACCAACTGCTGTCTTGGCTTTCAAATCAAATCGCTTTTACCTGCTGGATTAGGCACTAATCAACTGAAAAGGGGCAGCGGTCCGACTGCGTTCTTTGTCTTGACAACGTTTCTGAGAGCGCAGCAGCCATCTTGCTTGTGGTGTAACGTCACGGAGCGCGAAGAAGTCACTCGATTTCCGAGAAATACTTGGCGCGCAAAGAGCGCGCTCGAGTGTCAGTTTCCGGCGGCGCTCCTGTCTGCTTATTGAACGGAGCGCCAAACTCTCGCGCTCCTGAGCACGGACCTAACGCGGCCATTCAATCCGTCGGACTCGGGCCCAGTTGTTCAGTTGGCACCGTCCGAGTGAGTTGACGTTTACGGGAGACATAGGAGAATTTTTATATACTTAGGTTCCTTTATGTGGTGTTGGCCTAGCTCGGTGCATCAATAGAAATGGCACTTTTGTGCCACTCCTAGAAAAATATTTCTGTGCCTCGGTGGTGATTCTACCAAAACACTTCTAAGAGCAGCTTATCATTGTTGTTTCACGCAAAAGAAAAAAAAAATAAGACACCGTAATTGTCATTATTACGGGAAAGCGCCTGTTTTAACGACCAAAGACCACCCACCTCTCTGGCCGTGATGTCGCTACCGAAAAAACCGACCATCATGTTGTACAGGACGACCGTGACAGCATCTGCACAAATATTTGCAAGACAAACAGTCAAGTTGCTTTATACTTTTATTTAAATTACCTTTGCATGTTACATTTTCACAGAAACCGAAATACCTGGAAACCGAAGCGTCTGGAAATTTAGGGCCTTATAAAGCCCGAAAGAAGCCCAAGGTAGAACCAAACTTTTTTGGCCCGAATCTGAGTATGTTGGCCCCAATTCGCCAAACAAGTATCAAAGTTAGGCCTCACTCCTGTTCGTTTAGCTGTCATCTGCCAACTTTGGGCATTAATCGGCAAACAAATACCAGACTTAATCTTGACTTCAGGTTGTTCGGATTTTGAGTGGACACTTTGTGCCTGAATTTTCAAACAAGTACCACATTTATGCCTCACTCCTGGTTCTTCGGGTCGTACGTGGCCTCTCTGGCTCCACTCTGACACTGTGACAACTATGTGGCGAGCCTAAAAAAGCTATGCGGAGCGCAATTTTGTCTGCTTCTTTGAACTTGCCATCCGCATTAGACGCCAAAGAAAAATATGCTGGCACTGAAAAACGCCCTGAAGCAAAATTGCATTAGGCCCAAGTTAGGCCCCAAGGATTGGCAAACTTGTGCCAAGTTAGGCGTTTCTGTAACGTGTTACCAGAATTCCATACAAATCGTTTAAAGAAAATATCAAATGCTCTGTAAAAGAAATACCATTGCTAAAGAGTCTTTTAGACGTCCCCCTTGCTTAGATTCTGCTAACCCGTAAATCTTGATGCCATTAGCATCTTTGTAAGCGGCTTCGAAAAACTTACAATTTGGAAGGCTCTCTTTATCTGCTGTTCTTCTGCTAGTGACTAAACCTTTACTGTATCAAGAGTAAAATATATCACAAGAATCTTAGTATAAGCTACTGCATTAAGACAATTTATTAGATTACAAAAAATTAATTGCGCCGATATTTAGTTAGGTGCAGTGTTCATAACTTTACAAGGTATGTACGGTATGTCATCTTTGTACATCCACATATATAAAAACGAGTAACTATAAAAATAACAAAAAATATTAAAGATAACGAAAACTCCTGGTACTTAGTGGATGCAAGCGTGCTGCGAATGAATTACTATAGTCTTGAAAGGACAAGAAAACGAAGGACAGGGACAGACGACCACTCTCTGTGAGTTAGGAACAACTGAGTTATGTTCTTGAGATGGGAGCAAATGTAGCGCATTAAAAAACTTTGATACTTCTTTTTTTGCGTAGTTCGAGAAAATATTTTTACGAGAAATGCCAACAGCGGCGCCTAAGACCATGCAACGGCAAAGACAGAAAACATGTCGAGTAAGAGAACTAGACATCAATTGAAGTGAAATGTGACCGTCTGTCGCCGTCTCTCCTCGTTTAAATAGATTCCGTAACTCGAATATCAATTCGAACTACTCGAAAAACTCTTCGATTATGCAAGCCACGTTTTTTTTTTAAAAAAGAGAAAGGATTATGTAGTTGGGGGATAACTTCATAAAATAATTGGATTACAATTTGTTCAGAGCAAAACACGGGAGAGGCCGACAGATCAAAGGACTAGTTGCGGTAAATTAAGTCTTTTAACGTCTTCGTTAATTCAGTGTTAAAAACAACAACTAAATGTTTTTCACGCAGTTGTATTTGACTACGACCGACTGCGCCACAACTGGTTTTTAAGCTTCTTAATTACGACCAGAGCAGCGGATACAAGCAGTCACAAGAGGCTTTAAGACCATGTTGATTTAACCTGAGACTGGGGTAGAGAAGAAGCACCAAAACGTGGAAGGGACAGAAAATAGACAGGAGTCTCAAACTCAGCTAACTGGTTTATTTAGACCACTTTCTTATATAGTCTCAATCTCAAGGTCATTTCCATCAACACAAAACACCAAAAGGACAAAATCTATACAGTTTAAGCGCCACAGTCTCCACCACACAATGCAAGACGTTGACAACCTTTACAGGTCGACGCGATAAGGCATAAAGGTTGTCAACGTTCTTGCATTGTGTGGTGAAGACTGTGGCGCTTGAACTGTATAGATTTTGTCCTTTTGGTGTTTTGTGTTGGTGGAAATGACCTTAAAGGGTTGATGCAACGATTTTTGTACTTTGCGCAAATACCGCTTAGAACGGATCCCTGACGTTAATGACCTGTGAAATACCCGTTTGTTTTTCACCACACGCAATCGAAGTCACAGAAAAAAAATGAAGAAAAACGAGCAGGGTTCACCCCCTCAACTCGCAGCCAGAACAAGCGGCCACATGATCTGAAGCCGATTATATGCCGCCAATGTTGATCATAGCCATGCGCTGGGGTTGGCAAGGCACAGGACACGCGCTGCGTTCCAGACATTGTTATGGTTCGGCTGTTGTCGTCATTGCAGCGATTGGACACAGGACACTACCCGAATGCTTCTCGAGCTATCGATTATCACGAGCACAAGTCGAGTGCCCACGCAATGCTCGGGTCCAATCTATGAGCCGCATTCAAATATCGTCACTGGGCGGTACTGCTACCGCCCAGCTACGTCATCAGGTTTTGCGAAAAAGAGATTGAATGAGAACACTCGGTTTTGTCCTCGAAATTACAGCGCAACAAAGGAGTTTCTTGGCCAGTGGCGTTGCGTGCGAGTATCCTTGAGTCCCACTAAAGCCAGTAAGCTTCTGTAAAGTGAAAAACATCCCAACTGAATATCGTTGCACCGCCCCTTTAATGGCCTGCACCATTATGATTTTTTCTTTAAGACCAGTTTTTATACTCTCCGGTCGTAAGCAGTCAAAAACGTGTGAACAATCCTTTAGATAAGAGAAATCCTGACTCAATTCTCATCAAAGTCGACTATTCGTCAGCGCAGAGACATCGTCAAATAACCGGTAACAAAAAAAAATACTAGTGAAACGCACTCACCGTTAAGTAGAGACTCTCCGAAGACTAAGAAATACAATACTTTGTTGACCCCCACCTCTTGAAATATTGCTAGGACCTGCAGAAAGAGCAGAAGGGGGGAAACAGGGTTCCCGCATCAGCAAAGGCGGAACTATATTCTGTTCGCCCCTAAGCTGACAGTGCGAGGGAATCTACGTCCTCGTTGAACCAGTCATACGTCTATATTTCGCCACGTGATCACGCTCCCTGCCCATGCCCAGCAATAGCACCTAGAATAATCGAGGCCCGAGGACACTCTCCCTTTCCATCATGAAACGTCATCATAGTCGGATGTGGCCAACTCAGCAACAAGACCCGGGCCCGATCCCGAGTGTCCTTCGGCGCGTTGATTGGACGCGAGGCCCAACCGATTGCTGACGCAGCACTCGTTGTCCATTCTGCGTCTTCGCTCAATCTCACTGTGCTGACGTCAGGATTCTAGTGCACATGCTTCGACTCTTCTAGGTGGTGTTGATACCCACGTGCAGAGAACGGGGTCACGTGGTGAACAGGAGGCGGTTGATCGGTCCGTCGAGAGCTTAGCTCCCGCCGCACTGTCAGCTCATGGGTGAACGGAGTAGAGCGGAGCAGAGTCTGTGCGAGATCCGCACCGTCTGTTTACGGAGCACTTTGGCGGATGAACAGTGTCCCCGTGGAAGACGGGACACGCAAGCCCGGACGGGAAAGAAATTACTCATGGCGTGTAGAAAAAAAAAAAAAAAAGCGCGGAAAAAGATTAGACAAGTTGAACGAGACGATTCACTCACGGCCACCGGGTCGACGGCCGAGATGAGGGAGCTGAACACAAGGCACTCGAGGAGGTCCAGATCCGACAGACCGATGGCTCCCACGTTGCTCAAGAAGTACAAACTTGGACCTGCGACGTGGCGGGGAGGACCCACGGGTCTGGTTCGGAGGACGCCCGTTTCTCACGCTGCGACGGGACACCTACTGGGAAAACTGTGCGACGCTTTTGTATCCATGGCTTGCACTGACGTCACATCAGCGGCCATTGCAATGGCCTTGCTGCTGAGCGCATACCTTCTGCAGCGTGGATTTCGCACTAGAGTGTTTTTTTTTGTCTCGGCAAAAACAAGTATGGACGTCCATCAGCATGATGCGAGAATGTCATGTGCAAACCATGTATTGACCCTGTCCTATGGCTCATATAAATTCGATGTGCGGTCACGTGGTTGCGGTTCTACATCGGTTCTCACGAACCATGCGACGACTCGTTCGTGCCCCTGGAAGCAGTCGAATATCAGGCATCCACAATACTGATATATTCGGTATTGTTATTTATTTATGATTATTCGGTTATTCGGGCAACGCGAGGGAGGCACGGAGCACGATGATTCGAACCCCGCAAGTTGCTTTCACTGGGAAGGATTAGAGCCTCGAAAAAATTTGACGTCGCGACCTCCTCCTTCGCTGTGTCTCAATCTACGGTAGAACGAAGCCTAGCCCCTTTCTTGACCGCAGCGCGCGCAAAGGTCGAATCTCGCAGGAACAGCGGGAGAGACACAACGGGCCCGTCCGTCAATTCTTCCCGAATCCCGGACGTAAGATCAATCAACGAAAGGTGTAGAAAAGAAGCTAGAGTATAACGAGAAAGAACGAAACAAACGAAAAATGAAAGATGTTTACAAATCTCTGTAATGCAAAATTAGAGCGCAGCTCTTGAGGAGGAGGAGGGGAGGGTACAACGGGAAAGCATGCCTATCCTCTCCCTCCTTACCCTCCCCTCCTCCTTTCTTCCTCGCCTCCCATTTAGCGGAAAATTTTCGGTAAATTTCTCATAAATTTATCGAAAATTTCCATGCTAAATTTAGCGGGAATATTTTCGCTAAGTTTCCCGCTAAATTTAGAGGGAACATATCCCTAAATTTCCGGCTAAATTTAGCGGAAAATTTTCCTCGCTAAATTTAACGGGTTAAGTTTCCCCGCTAAGTTAGCGGGGAAATTGGCGTCGCGTGACCTCAACACCAATCCAGTTCTCCCGCTAAATTTAGCGGGGAAACTGTGACGTCCCATAATGCAACGCGCGCGATTACGCCAACGCCGCTCAACTTAGAAACGCGCGCCTAAGAAATGCGCTCTAAAAAAACTCTCCACTTGAACTTGCGATCTGTACCAAGGTACTACTGAGCATGACCTTTCACATGCATGCTCAATGTTCTAGTGCAGGTGTCTTTTTTTTCAAGGGGGGGAGACGGACGCATTGTCGGAGACGGACGCATGATCGCATTGACTAGTGCTCTGCGTGCTCTGTGGGGAGACGGACGCACGGGAATCGCTGACAGCAATGGGGCTGGCCAGCAGAGTCTCATTTTGCCGCATATCGGTGCAGGCAGACACAGTTCTTAGCTTGAAGAGACCCAGTAACACTGCTAATACACCGTACGAAATAAAGTCTGCCGGCACTGTCTGGGGCGTGTTTGTTCCTTGTATGAGGGTCACATTGGGCAGACAAAAACTGTCTGCAGACACGTTCGAAGCATATATGAGTCCGCAGACAATTCTGTCATCGTGGTGTCTGCAGCGAACATCGCGTCTTTCGTGAGATGTATGAGCTTTAAAGCTGGTTCGAGCATTTGCGTTTGAGAGTAACGGACTATGCGCAGAGCAAGTCGGTTTGCTTCTTGCGCGGGAGTTGCGGTGACGTCAGAAAGACACCGGACTCTGATTGGTTCTGATTGAGGGATAGCGGGTAGACCTCAAAGCAAGCTGCCTTGAGGTCTACCCACTATCCTTCATTCAGAACCACTCAGCGTTCTGACGTCACCAGAACCATTCCAAAAGGAGCAGAAGTACTTGCGTTCCGCATACCTGGACTTGAGGTCTAACCACTCTCCTTCCAATCGGAGCCAATCAGAGCTTGGCGTCACCGCAACCCCTGCTCAGGAAGCAGACGAACTTTCGCTCCGGGTACGTTACGACTCGTCGCGTTCCACTGTGGTCGCTGGAACGCGTCTCCTACTGGTGTGTTTATACTGCGTCAAAAAGAGAAGTCATCTCCCGATTTCCGCTAGATGACGTCAGAGAAGCGTCACGCTGTCGCCGGCCGCGATCCTGGCGGCGTCACACCAGCGGTCGCGTATGTGGCAGACGTCTGTTCTGCTGCAGGTCGCTCTCCAGCTCGACAGTTCACGGAAGCTTCGGAAGCCAGGAGACGGGACGCCGTAACGACAACGACACTCGGGGTTGCTCGGGCTTTTTTTTTTCTTTCTTTTTTTCAACGGAACTTTTGCGACCTCACTTCGAGACCACAGGGCGTCCGCTAGAAAACCGAACCCTGTTTTTCGCATCGCAAAAGTAAACTAGACACCGCGGAGAGCTGAGACTCTGTCGGAACTTAGCCCCCGCCCTTCGAGCAAAAAGCCAAAGTTTCAGCGCCAAAGTTATGACCGATTTTCTGAAATTTCGATGGAAAAATGGCGGCACACGGAGCTCTCGAATACATGGAGCTCCATGGCGCTAGACATTTTCCCACTGAAAATTAAAAAAAAAAAAAAAAAACACTAACAACTTTTGAATAAGATAACGGTTGTACCTGAAACTTTGGCATCTTGCTCGAACGGCTGGGGCAACGTTCTGATGGAGTTTGAACTCTCCGCGATGTCTAGTTTATTTTTGCGGTGCGAAAAACAGTGTTCAATTTTCTCGCGGACGCCTTCTATTGGTGGGATAACTGGCGCTGAACGGAACAGTCACAGACGCGCTCCAGGCATCGTAGTTCCACCACGACACACTGAGCGGACCTGCGATGCCGTAGCAACCATATTGTTGTACACCCTAATATATATAAAGTTGCGAGTTTTTTTCTGTTTTTTGCAGGACGCGAGAATACTAATCACGAAGTAACAGCAAAAGCATACCATCGAATGAAGAAACTCAGAACACGATTACAGTGGACCAAACACATGCAATATGTGCAGGGGAAGTGAGCGTGACCTTACGTTTTCTCGATGGGGACTTTTAGCAAACCGTTGCCGTGTTCCGCGTACCGTGCATGGAGGACAGGCGATGGCACGGACTTTTGGAAAAAGTATTGGGCTCCTAACTCTTCGACTACGGCTTTTAAATTAAAATAGTTTGGCGTAACTTTGAACCTAATTTGCGATGTGACATCAACGGAATGACGGTATCTCGGGTCGTTTTTGCCGGAAAGTTGAGATTATAGGGTAGATTGTCGCATCCATCAAATAATTTGGTCAAGCGTGCACATTTTATAAATATAGGTAAAACCCCAACTTACCTATTGTGAAGGCATTTATTACTGTACCCTGTAAAAAGCCAAACACAACTTGTGAAAAAAAAACATCAAATAACAAAGTTGAGAACACACGACCACGGTGGCGTAATATACAAATATAAATTGAAATGGGTAAGGGAAATAGGAAATGCGAACTTTCTAATCAGTGAAAACGGCATTACGGGAGCGAATAAATTAGCGCGAAGACATTGACTTTTGCGCACGGAAGCCGGACGCGGGGATTGACAAAATTAACTAGACCCCGTGTCCAGCCAGCCGGTCCACGGATCACGTGTCCGGGTCATTTGCATCTTGACTAATGAGGTCCGCGGGAAAACAAGCGCACACCAAAGTAAAAGGAAAGAAACAAGAGATTTCTAGAACTCCGGAAGGTCGTGTCACAAAGGATTTGCAAAGTTTTTGAACTCCAGAACCCCCCCCCCCTTCCCCTCTCCTTTTTTTTCTTTTTTAAAAAAAAGGGGGGGGGGAGCGGGAAGAGATTTGTTGACTAAGAGGCGTCGTGTGATGAAGTGTAAATTGTGTGAACACCTGCCCAAAAACTTTGGTTCAATTTCAAATCGTCTCGCCACCTACTCCCGCGAGCCGATTTGGGATTGGGTCAAAGCTTTTGGTCACGTGTTCACAGCAATTGCTTACGCGTCACCATCTGTCACGCTCTGACATCTCTTCGGCAGCGAAACTGTTTTCGCTCCTGGAGTTAGCTTTGATTTCCAGCCGCCGCCTTGATTGCCGAAATTCAAAACGCAATAGCTCGAAGTAGAATTTTATTTTTTTCGAATGCCTCTCAACTGCTTCAGCCTCTGTATACGACGGGCTGCAAATTTCTAACTGAAACATGCTAGTTCAAATTAGATAAGAATTTTTTGGTGACTTTTAGGGAACTATGTGCCTAATAGGCACTTAACACTCGCGTTCTGATGTCCTTATGTGAACAACGTAATCTCGAAGAAATAGTGCTTTTATATCAAAGTCTCTGATAAAAAAATAAATAAACAACTGTCACTTCTACGTGAAACTCCCTGTAGAGTACTTCAGTAGATCAATATATCAACACTGCTCGTCGTCTAATTTTGGACGCATATACATTGTTCAAGAAACGTGACACTTATAGTTTAGAGCTCGCTACACCGTCTCAAGACTTCCAATGTGCGTTCAAACGCACGTGCGAGATCCGTTTTTAGAAAGTGACTTCCTTGAGCGAATGGTCGCACCAACAACAAACTTTATTAATAGACGCCTCCGTACCTGTGCTCTCAGAAGTCCTGCACACAGCTTGTGATAGACATCATAATAGCCGCATATGAGTCCCTTACACGAGACGTGTTGATTTCTGTTTCCATCACACGGTGAAAGTAAATAGTTGAATAGTGCAAAACTGTATAGTAGCCGTAGTCATGGCGTAAAGACCGATGAAGATGTATTCCAAATTTAATAATTACTAGTAAATTATTTAGCTAACGGTAACCGAATTTTGCTTCTGATTGTTTTCATATAACAGTCACCAAACAAAAAAAAAAAAAAAAAGCTAACACTACAAGTTAGCACTGCGGAAATTTCAGACTGATGAAACACTGACTTGTTTTCTCAATCTGGTGGTCTCTCAACTGCGAACGGTCACCAGCTTGAATATGTTGTGGCCTCTCGAATCAAAGCAATATATTACGCGTAATTCGAGTTCTTGTAAAAGTCTAAAGTATATCCACTAATATCCAGTCAAGAAAAAAAAAAAAAAGCCAGCATTTTTAATATTTTTTAAAACGTTTTTCTTTTTTGGCGACATTAGGCTACCTTAAACGGTGCCGCCTGTTCCGTTCCCAAACGTCTGATGTTTGGCGCAGGTCAAGCGTAAGAAAAATGTTTAGCAAGATGTGCTTCGGTCGTGTGTGAGAAGAATTTATCATTTATTCGCTAACGGCTTCGCCCCACCAGCGCGACAAACATTAACGTTGGCCCCCCAACAGAACAAAGTCCTCAGTTCTCTTGCGTCCCGAGTAGTCCTCCGGAGCACTGACTGTTCACAAACATCTAACGTTTACGGCCGGTTGCTGACGCTGAAACGCCAAAAAAGTTTGCGGACGAGATGTGTGTGACATATATGCCAACAGTGTTTGTCAGCTGTTAACACAGAAATAGGCGGCCTTCGGTGGGCCTCGATCATAACAGGCTTGCCGGCCATCGGGCAAGCCTGTTACCCGAATAAGGGTTCGTGAGCAAAGGCTGGTCCAAACAAAGCGGTACTTTAAGTGAGACGCTTGCTCGCGCACCTTTGGGTTTTGCGACGGTAGCCGGGGACTTTATCGTAAGCATTCCAAGTCGCTGTTCTCTCGTTTTTTTTTTTTTTTTTTTAAGAAGTCACAATTGCATAATTAGATTTTCGCTCCTCTCAAACTGTATAAAATCACGCTAAAAAAAACAAAAAAACTTTCTTTTAGCTTAATACCAACGATGAATTCGTTGGTATTAAGCAAGCATTAAGCAAGCAAGCAAGCAAGCATACGTTTTTTTCAAACCTCTCGATATAGTTCCGATAAAGGAGCACTCGAGCCTTTAAATAATGTCCCAGTACATCAATCATAATCCATATACCCCCTGTCAGGCGGCTACACGAAACCTCACGTGGAAGAAACCTTCTAAGTAGAGCCCACAAAATGTCTCATCTTTTAAATAAACCTCAACGAATAGCAGTTAAGAAATTCCCTTAATCAAGACTGAGTATTCAGATTAACCTCCGTGTACTGGAGCAAAATATGCGGAGGTAAATTCCCGAATAACAAGTATTAACCTCGAATGACCAGAGCCAGGGTCTTTGCAGCCTACCGCGATAAGAAGGAAGCAAAGCACTCACCAGCACTGCGAACAACAGGATAGTTCCGATATTGCTAAAGAAGGCACTGTCGTGAAGAGAGTAAGCCGATTCCAAGATGATTCTGAAAACATAAAAAGAAAAAGCACCGCACGCACGTCAGGAAGCAAGCGACTATTGGAACCCTTACACAATATAGACGCTTTCAGGCAGCTGTGCATGGGCGCCGCCATAACCGACCTTCAGTTGTTGTTCCTTCTCATTCCGTTCGCTCCACTTCATCATTACCACAGCAGGACAGGTTATAGCCACTTTAGGTGTTACTGTGTCCTTCTCCCCAGCATAGGCCCTTCTGGAGACCCGTCAACGCCCGTTTCAGTGGCTTGGCCGCTCGGTAAGACGAGAGAAAGTCGGCTATGGCGGCTCAATCTGGCGCGCGCTGAAAGCGTCTATAGTCGTCGACATGTGGTGAGAAAGGCACAGGACGTGCTCCTTGCCCTCCGCCGTGCTTTGGCAGCAAGTGCAGGCTCAAAGCTCACGAGATCCAGAACTGCTGTCCAAGGTAGGAAATTCGCGCTGGAAGCTGGACAACGGAAGCTCCTTCCCGCCGCTGCTCTCATCCTGCCTGTCACTATGCGAAGAGCAAGTCGTCTGCTCTTCAAGCCGCCTCGAGGTCTACCCACCATTACTCATTCAGAACCAATCAGAGCTCGGCGTTTTTCTGACGTCAGTGCCACTCCCGTCCAAGAAACAGACGACTTGCTCTTCGCGCATTGCTGCAATATTTGCCCAATATTGCAGCAATGCTCTTCGCGCATTGCTGCAATATTTGTCCACATACGCCAAGGTTCCTCCCGAAAAGCCCGCACCAAAAACAAACAGACAGAGACGGCGATAGGCGTTTCTTTTTGTTCGAAACGGTTCGGTTGACCTAGTCGATCATGCGAGGAAAGAGGTTGGCTTTTATGGTATGTACCACCTTGACGGAGGTGGTGGACGCTCGTCCGGTAATCCAAAGCATCCGAGGTCGTCGCCATTGCGGAAGCGCGCAGAGCAGAAACCACCAGAATAATGAACGCCTGTGCACTAAAATTTTGATGCCAGCAGGGTGTGAGATCGAGAGAAGACGCAGATTGAGAGTGAGTGCGTCGTCAGCATTTTGCTGGGCCTCGTGTACCGCCAACGCGTCGAAGGGCGCTCCGCGTCGGGCTCGGGTCCAATCGCTGAGTTGGCCACATCCCACCGTGATGACGTTCCATGGAGAAAAAGGAGGACGTTGCAGGCCTTTCTAGCTGGCGTTAGCCGAGTGCAGAACCGTTGCGTCCAAGTTACTCGCGCAGATACGGGGGATCCGAAAGATAATAGAGTGTTTTAGTAGATCGTTCAGTCACTCCCGCTGTGCTATCCGCTAGCCGCTACGACCTCGGCTATATGTAGCGTAGCGGAACTACCATTTTAAGTTTTAGTAGAACGTTCGCAACCCGCTACGGATTACAACGTTACGAGAGCTAACGCAACGCCACTAGCGGCTCTTTCGGACACTAGGGCTCGCGTAAAACAGATTTGTAAAGCGATCCTTCGCAATTGTTTTTATTAACGTCGTTATCTTAATAAAATATTGTTTTTTTTATTGAATAACGTGCTAATCGTTGCTTCTTTTGTAAGTAGGTGACTATTATGTTTAACTGTCGGCCAAGCTGTCCAAGCCAATCCGATATGAGTCAAGTGCCAAAGCCACCGAGAAAAATCTTCAAAAATAAAGGACAACCACTGTAGCTCATCTGTTGCGTCGTTGTTCACCGAAAATGAAGCGCCACAGAAATCCCTCATATCCGCCTGCTCGCTCCGCTTCCTTAGTCGGTTTTGTCTTCACGACAAAGCGGCCGAGCAGGGGCTGCACCTTTCGCTCACAGCACCAAAAACTGCGAAGCTTTTTCTTTTTTTTTTTTTTTTTCTCCTTTCCGTGGCCGCGTTTAGTATATCCGCCATGAATCGCTACCTGTTGCAGTCGTGGAACGGCTTTGTCGCGGGTACTTCTCGCAGCAGCAAGGTATAATCCACCCCTTAGAACCACGATCGCGAAACGCACAGACCGAGTAGACGCGGCGTGGCGGCCATCTTGAACAGCGTCCCTCGCTGGGTCTCCCTCATCTCGCCAAGACTCGTTCTCGCGAGAGCCACGCTAGCTCGCCGCGCTACGCCCCTCGCTATTTTCGCCCGCTAGCGCGCCTCCGCTAGCCTCCGCAGCTCCGCAATGTTTCCGCTAGCAGCGCGCATGCGCAGTAGCGTCGTCGCTCTAGCGTATAGCGTAGCGGGAGAGCCAAAACGATCTACTAAAACTCTCTAATAGGGAGTTTTCGTAGACCGCGCTGCCCCCTCCGCTAAGCGTTCCGCAACGAAGAAGTTGCTACTGCGTCTGCGCGCCGATAGCCTTGACTGTGGAGTTCCCGCTTTCGTAGCGGGTTGCGGAGGGCCTTGCGGGACGGCGAAAACGATCTACGAAAACTCCTTAATAGGGAATTGTAGTAGAGCGTTCCCGCAGCCCGCTAAGCACCCGGATAGCGCTCCGTAGGCCGCTAGGAGACCTTGAACTATGCAGACAAAGCTGGCGGCGCGCATGCTCAGCTGCGGCGTTTTCTTCGGGGATACCGTAGCGGAGGAGAAAAACGATCTACTACAGCTTCCTAATGGCTACTTTCTGCCGTTAAAACTGACGAGGCTCGACTTGCAAATAAATGCCTATACGGAGCGCAAGTTCGTCTGCTTCTCGCACAGGGGTTGCGATGATGTCAGAATGCCCGAGCTCTTATTGGCTGAATGAAAGAAAAATAGAGTGGGTAGACCTCAATGCCAGATGCCTCGAGGTCTACCAACTATCCTTTCAATCAAAGCCAATCAGAGCTCAATGTTGTTCTGACGTCACCGCAACTCCTGCGCAAGAAGCAGGCGACTTACTCCCCGCATAGCACAAAGGAGGTGGTGTCCACTGCGTTGCGGCAGGTTCTGAATACTCCTGCTCGAAGACAACTGCTGTCCAAATAACCGACTTTTTATTTTTTTTTTTTTAAATCTCGTTTTAACAAGCTCCTAATGGTTGAAGTAAATATACGCCATTAAAGGGATGCTGAACCACACATTTCAGTGTCTATAAGTGGCGCGCTATCTTTCCATGAGTCAGCAGCCGCCGGTGTGCGCGAGCACACTAAACGAAACTGACGTCATCATATCCCACATTCAAGATTATTAATGTTTGGTTCAACATCCATTTAAGGAATTGCACAAAGACATAAGGCAACGTTGTTGTGGGGGAGGCGTTTGCCTCTCACATGTTTAAAATTGTCCTCGTTCTCTTTAGACTCCAATTTCAGCGCATTCAAAACCGCTGCTCATTAAAAAAAAAAAAAAAAAAAAAGAAAGACTTTTAAACATTTATTTAGTGTTTCTGGCAAACGGTCATTTAGGGCCGGTTGCACCAACGCCGCTTATCTTAACCCAAAGCGGCGCTTTCCTAAGCCGGCTTAGCGCCCTAAACCGAGCTCAGGTAAGCACGGGTTTAAATTCCGGTTGCACCAACGTTAAGCCGGCTTTACAGACGCGCCCCTAGCTAAACGCTGGATTTGCGTAGGGAATCTAGGGACAAACAGAGTGAACTAGGGAACGCTCAGAGGGACGAATACGATTGGTGGAGAGGAATCACGTGATGTAAACAAAAAAGAAAAAAAACTGCCGTAGTAGTTGTCGTCGGCGTCTGCTTTTCGCTGTATTTCTTCGGTGAGTAACAAATTAAAGGTCTCCAAATTCAATCATTTTTTCGTTTAACTTTCAATAACAGAAGTCAAAGCTTCAAATAAACACGAATGCTCTTTACATCTGTGATTGTGTGTTTAATATCGGTTGATAACAGGTTATTTTGACAGTGGTAGTAGTTTTCGTGCTGACATTTTGAGGCGAAGGAGCCATCGGGGGCCCCAAATCTCACCGAAAGCGAGAAGGACACTACTCGCTACATCGCTGAAGACAAAACATCGTGGATATAAGTAGGCAGGTAAGATGACTACTAAAATCAAGTCAAACCTGAGACCGATGAAGTTCAAAACAGTGACGAACTCGCCAAGGCAGCTGCGAAAATGCCCGGAAATCGTCGAATAGAAGTCGTCGAGAGGTCAGGTCACGAGACCTTGCATTGACGGTACTCGTTGCTATCAGCAAGGTGACAGAACTGCACTGTACCGTCGTTGAACATCCGCTGCAGCCTCAAACGGGCTTCAGTTTCACACTGTCCAGTTCAGAAAAAAAAACTCCAGTACATCACTTCGTGCCGATAAGAACAGTCGTCTCTTCGCATCGCCTGCCCCAGCCTGCCCCGATACAGCAATGAACGAATCTAGCATAGTAGTCGTTACGATTTGTCGTCGCCACGAATGAAAGATATAAAGCAAAATATTCCTAAAAAATCGCGATCACCAAAAAAGTTACGGTTATGGAACGATACAGTTTTCTGAAGCCAAGATTTTACTCGCGAGGTTAGGAAAATTCACTGAAGATTGTCTCAAAACTCAGAAAACGAAAGAAATTGAATTTTCGTTGTTTTATTACTTAAAAGCGCCGCAATCTAATGCGAACGGCAGAGGTGTCGACAATCAGCTGATCGCCGAGATCATGCTTCAACGCGCTGATCGATTTGAAAGATACGCGCTGCAAGTGTAAATAAACAAGGTGGTAAATAAGAATGCGTTACGGTTATGCGAAAATTAGTGAGTACATACGAATAAGCTCGTTGACAGAAGAACCAACGGGAAGACAGACGTGAGCCCCGTGAGCCCCACAGACACACAGCTCCGTACGTATCTCGGTTAGGGCTAACACGCCCTGAGAGTGGAGAGCCAACTTGAAAACAGGGGTCGATAAACACTTCACGCGACAATATTTTGCATCCTTGCCACAATCGAAGGTCATTTTGTCGAGACTTTCACGCTGATGTAGCCTAAAACACTTTGCACAACCAATTTCGTCCACCGCGTCGACCGCGACAAACCAGGCGCGCCATGTTTTTAATCCAGGATTAAGAAACAACCAAAAGCAAAGCGCCCAATGTTGAGCGCTTAAGTTAAGCGTAGTTTAGTG